GGAAAAACCTTCATCCAACTTGATTGGCCGCTCTGGGAAGGCACCCGAAGAAGTTGCAGTTCCGTCCATTATCATTGGACTCCATCCGGATCCCCTCATGCATCGCAATAATGCAACCCTTGCATCCTATGTAAATACATAAGGGGTGCATTATTGCACAATTCGGCCAACTGAGGCCCATCGGAAAGTGCACTACCGCTATGTACTGAATGCAGGGCAAGTGCTGGGCCGGTTTTGCGAATATAAAGAGCTCTGCAATTGCGCGCAATACACAAAGTGCATTTTAATCGCGAATAAAGACCATTGGACGATCTGGGAGGCCAATGAATCGACGAGCTCGATGCACTTGCAGGTACAACTCACTCATACCACTTCTTCGTGTTGGAAAATGGTGACCCGACAATGGAAATTTATTGGGGTTTTCGAACTATCAACAAACACTTTGCATCCCTGTACGAGTGAACGTTCTCAATAGTCCCTATTTCCCTTTGGAAGCCGATGACCAGTAGAAGAAGTAGCACGAGTTAATCAACTAATCGAAAACTAGTTATCAAGTTGCCGCTTGAGACACTATCCCACGACCTATGAATCACATGCAAGAGGGGTAGAAAAAACCCCTAGAAAAACGGGCCTACCTGAGGCCGATTCCATGCGCTACTAGAGCCCGACTAGAAACTGCTCTAAATAGGGCACAGCTGGAAGTTTTCGGGTTTTATTCACTCTTCCCTATTGCCTGTGCCCGCGACGTTTCGGCCGTTTCTCCGGTATATCCCGTCATCCTCAACCTACTAGTAGGAGAAACATTTGATCAGCTCAAATGCGCCGCTGAATGGCTTGAATGGCTGCCTTCGGCTCCTCCAAAGGAGCACACTATTGTCAATTAGACTAAGGGGATTTTTAATATAAATTATTTAAAGCCGCATTGTGCCGGCCATAAAGTAATATGAGATGTATATGAACGGCCAAAGTAGAAAGGTGACGGTCGGCATTTAAAATTCAATTTATCATGTTGGTACAATACAGATAATATACATGGGGATCGAAAACCTGTTCGGTTCAAAGGGGATCGATACTGATTTTTTTCTTCGGTTCAAACCGGATGCTTAATGTGGTAAGCGTGCGTTTGAAACTCCCATACTTTGGGGTTTTTTCTCGATTTTGCGTTTTTACAGCTGAAAGAACCAAGTGGTTTGCGTCTGAAAAGGGCCGCTGAACGAAGAACACTAGCGAATTGTTTTGCGATTTTTTGACGATTGATTGATGGAATTTTTGGATTTGGTTTTTTCACAAAGATCAATTTCTTCAAGTTCCGACATTTTTTGCATATTAAAAATCGAAAGGAAACCGAGCACGTTTTATTACACCCCTTAATTTTCTTCAAAACTTTCAATATTCCCCATGCGATTTTTCTCAGCTCGATCGATTCGCCTTCTTCCGCCTCACAAGGACGCAAATATGCAAATTTAACGCTTCTGAGCCAGAGATAGAAGATAGAAAATTTTCAATCTTTCAGATTGAATAGTTTACTCGTCGACAAACAACGAAAACTTTGAGGAGCTTTTTTGAGCGATTTTCATCCATTAAAAGTCCCTTGATAGAAGGCAAAGTGTTATTTGAAGATTGGAATTAGATCGAAAACTCGGCATGTCTGAGGCAAAAATTCACATTTTTTCCAAAATCGCTGGAATCAATGATCAATTTCCTGTGGTGTGGCATTTTGAACCACTTTTACCTTTAAACTCGCCACAATTTTCAGCTCTTAAAAAGTGTATTTGCTTGCCTTTACGATTTTCAAAGATGCAAAATGAGTGAAAAAATCGGAACATTCTTGGTAAGAAATACATTTTAAATGCCTGAATTCCGTAAAAATCACATCGAAAATGCATTTCTGCTGATTCTTCCATTTTTTTTTTCAGATGGGAAACTTAGCACGTTTTAGATCAAACTACGCTTTTGAAGAGACATTTTGAAAAAATTTTCCCATTGAACTGGTCACAATTTTCAGCTTTTAAAAGGGGCATTTGATTGAAGAAAGCCGCGCTTGTTCTTCACTTTTTGAAGATGAAAATGACTGGACAACTCAGCACGTTTTTGGATAAAAATTAAGAAAAAATAATTGAGTTCTTTAAAGCACTTGACAAATCAATTTTTTTGAATCAAAATCGATGAAAGCTGAGCAAGCTTCATTGGTTGTACGGGTTTGTTTCTTCATTAAAACATTTGAGCGACTTTTTTCCATTGAAAAGGCTACAGATTTGTACACTCGTGAGGAGTAGAAAACTCAGCATATTTTTGGTTAAAAATGTATACAAAAATGTCTGAACTTTTCAAATCATTTATAAGGCATTTCAATTTTTCTTAGCCTGAATATCGACGAAAACTAAACCCGGTTTGTATGAAAATTCCTAGGTTTTCTTAATTTTTTTGAGACATCTAGTAACTATTTTCTGTTTTTAAAACTAGCTTTGATTGAAGGAAAAGCACTGGTTCTTTAATTTTTTGAAGACTCGATATGAGTGGAAGAATCCGCTCGTTTTTGGACAAAAATGAAAAAAAAGCAGGTTCCAGATGGATCCAATCAACATCTTCTTTTCCGTTTTTCCCAGAATGAAACTCGATGGAGAAGTAAGCACGCTATTTATGAAAATTCTAAGGTTTTCGACCTTCCTTCTTTGAAACATTTGAGATAATTTTTCCCATTGATCTGGCCTTTTTGATTGATTAAAGCCGCACTTGTTCGTCAATTTTTTGAACACTGAACTAATTAAAAAATGTCTCAACTTTTCAGAGCGCTTGAAAAATCCATTTCTTCTTCAAATTTCGAATTCAATTCAATTCTCCAAACTTCCACGGCTTTCTTTCCATCCTCCTTCTTTGAGACTATTTGATAGAAGGACGCCGTCTGGGACTTTTTAAAAGACGCGTCTTTTGAAGACAGACTCAAGATGACTGGAAAACTCAATTAATTAACGAAAGAAGAGTTGATTTGATTTGAAGATTTGGAAAGATCACATTCTTGCAGTCCCTGAATTTTCAGCGGATTTTTGGGAAGTTTCCCTTAAAATTGAAGCAATTTACCCGCTTCGCTGTTAGTTCCCAACGGAAGAACATGCGGGATTCTTACAATCTACCAACAAACTAGTTTCCATCCTGTGGTCCTTCGGCCCGATTAGATCAAACAGGAGTGAAATTAACCCACTCATGTTTCCAATTCGGTTGTTTTTGCACGTGCGTTATACGTTTGAGCCTGTTATAAATATGCCAAAAATGCCCTTTTGTATCTCGCATCAATAGGAAGAGGGATGGCCCCTGAAGACGACCCTTAGCAAGACCAATTCATATGCTGATTCAAAGATATCAGGTAGATATTAACCTGCCCACAAGCTACTTATTATTGCTTTCCAATGGTCTTTTCAGTGATGCTTTGTTTCGTTTCGCAAGGTTTGCTACTTTTGATTTGATAAATTTGATTTTTCAAGGGGATTTGAGCGGTCAAGACACATCTGCGCCACTGCCTTGACCCGATTGTCCAACAGGCACTTACTGGGATCTGAGGGTGAAAAATGCGGAACAGGAACTGACTGTTAAGGACAATGGGAAATTGCCAAAAAATCCAAACAAGTTTTAAATCGTCGCATTTTGGGGCATACAATAGGAACGAGTTTTTTTGCGTTATCGTTTGGTTTGCATCCCTAATATGGGAGCAAATCAAACTTATTTTTTTCAATCAGATCCGCATTGTGGTGGCGATGTTCGGAGCGGCTTAATGTACGTTAGAAATATGACAATCGGGTTGGTAAGCGCCGTTTTATAACCGTCTTTTGTAGCTGCCATGTATGATTGGCGCTTTGTTGAGGGCTAAAACCATCCCGAAACTTCAGCGGGTACCGAAATGCTGTTTGGAACACAGGGTCGGATTCATCGATTAATCGTTCACCTCAAGAACCTACTAACTTGGAATTTTTACCTACTTGACTTCTTCAGGTCAATATTCTAATGTTGATGGCACGCTGAATTCGCTATACCTGGGCGAAAATCGTGGATTTTATTTCCCAACTGCGTTCGCAAATGCTTTAGCAGAAACTCATTTTCATCTTGTAGGTTTTAGCCGTTAGAAGCTTCAGTGGGTGAGTGTTTTCAGGAATTTTGCTGTTCAGTTTCCCGACTGATTTCACGCAAAAAGATAAAAAAATGCTTAATAATCTTTTTTTGGGTTGAGTTTCGGTTTGCAGACTGCAAAACTCACGTAGATTAAACGTCACGCTGTTGCCCAAATTGGACCACGATTATTTGAATTTTCCGCTGATGCTTGGAACAAAAACGCAAATGCGCGTGCGGCCAATTTCCAACCAATCAAAATTGCCTCTAAATTGATGAACAATTTCAAGCGCTTTATCGGGTTCTCCACTGGAAAAATATTCTACATGCTGCTTACCTGTGCAATTGCCAAAATAGTCGCCATTTTCACTCAATAGTCCAGGGCCGAGGCCTTTATTGACCTCCAATCGTTGCCTATGAATCTAATCGTATAAACAACCCAATTAAACACTATCGCCAGAAAAACTATTGAAATTGTTCCTTTGAAAAATAACCTACATGTCACTGATGTGGCAGGTATTGCTGCCAACCTACTGAAAATTGACCGATTTTGGTTGGCATTTACTGATCTTAATCACGCTTATGCCGCGTCTCGCTTTACCCGTACAGACCAGGAAGAGATGGAAGAAGCCTGCAAAGCTACAGCATGCGGGTGATCGTTTCGCAACAGTGCAGGTAGTCACTCACCTGGCACGTGACACTATCGGCTAATGATCATGTCCGTAATCCGTTGTCAACGTCAACGGGCGCAGACGCAGTAATCAGTTTGCAAAAAACGGACTTTTAGTGAACTTTGAGTTGAAAAACCGTGTTATGTCGGTGACGAAAATTCCCCCGATCACCATGAGCAAGCTCTACGTGGGAAACTTGCCCATGGAGGCCAATGAGGGCTCCCTGCGGCAACTTTTCGCCGATCAGAACCTGTCCTGCACGAGCATTCTGATCAAGCGCGGCGGCTACGCTTTCGTGGACTGTCCCGATCAATCCTCAGCGGACAAGGCCATTGATAAGCTCAATGGTAAGTCTATCGTCTCGCTCCTGGGCCTTACCTAGCTTACCTAACCTTAATGTTGGTTTCAGGCTTCAACTTCCATGGTTCGCTGCTCATTGTGGAACCGTCGGTGGCGTCAGGAAAGAGGAGGTAAGCGGCAGCCGACGCCACTGGGCTAACGTTAGAAATATGTTAGGCGAGTTCGGAGCTCCCCACTCTGCCCGGGCTCTTCCAAGAAATTGTTAAGGACCGTAACATGTGGCATTGACCACCGGCTGCCATTTACCATTGTAAACAATTAATTCGGAAAAGGTGCATATCCTGTTGTCCGCTAGTGGAGGGACCCGGCTCGCTTATTTATCAATAGAAATCGGCTACGTAGTCGGAGGGAATCAGCACTTTTTGGTCCTTCGCTTCGTTAAGTTATTGCCCCGAAAATTATCCCTATTCTTCACTGAAAAGTCGCATAATTTAGCCTGCAGGCTTTTGTTAAACTTACTTAAGGCGCATAGGCGCTGCAGCCCCACAGAGCTCCTTTATACAGTGACTTCACCTACCTGCATGGCCCTTCGCTCATATAATACCAAATACTGGCCATTCGAGTGGTAACAAATGTTCAGAAACTGCAAGCAAAGGGCGAACCACGCAAGTGAAGAGTATTTACTTCTAAAGGTGCTCTGCAGCATTGGCAGCGCTTTCAGCGTAGGCGCCACTGCTTGCATTTATTAACAGTCGACAACTGTTTAACAATGTCGAACATTTTCAGTTTTAAATCGCATAAGAACCTTTTCGTCGAAAATTACTATAAAGTTTCCGTTGCAGGAGTTTCCCGGAGTCGAGCATGCCGCCGATGCAAGTAGGAAACGGATGGATGTAAGTTGTCCCCTTTCAAGTTAACTCCCGATTTCTCGCTCAACTTCGGCTCTAAACACACTCACTTTGAACCATCAGCTCGATGCTCAATCAAGTCAACAACCCCTCCAAAAAGCGAAAAAATCGCCTCCCATCTGCAGGGCAAAGAGGTAAAAATGACTGACTGGACACGCGCTGATTGTTCCAGAATGGTCCTCGAAAATCGCGTTTCCCTTTTTCCACCAAACCGGCCGCAGACAGGGTGTTTTTTGCTTGTTTCGAGTCCACGAGGTATGGGGGGGCGCCGCCAGCGTCAGACAGCGTAAAATCATTAACCCCATCGGGCAAATTGCATTTTTATTGGCCGCATTTGTTATTGGATTTCGGGCAAAACCGCGAAAAACGGGAAAAAAACGATTCAGACTGATATGCATATGGGAGGCTGTGCAGACGAATGGGAAATGGGGAATTTTGTTTGTTTATGCTGGCCAATGTTAACGAAATATTGCGGGTTTTTAGGGGGGCTGTCTAGCAGTTTTTTTCTTTCGAGGTGGTCGCACATGCACAATTTGTCTAAGGGTTTTTGGAATATTTCTACTACAAAGCAATGGCATTTGCAACTGCGCAAATGTTCAGTTTTTTTGCCCAAAGCTTGAAAAATTCACGAGCCAGTAGAGGTTTTTGAAGCGACTTCAAAAGCCCACAGCGACAATAAAGATTTTTTTTTCAAGTGCGGAAATAGCTCTTCTATAGGATTTCCAATAGAAGTTCGATTGAACTTTTCAGCTCTCTGGCCAAACCTGCCTTATTTGTTAAGCGCTTTCAAGAGTCCACAAGCTAGTTTATAGTTAGAATTTTTGAGATTTTCGTCCAAATCTGCCATATTTTGGCAACGACTTCAAAAGTCTACGAGCGAGTTTAAAGAGAATTTGGCGTTCTTTGGAATGGCATTTTTATAGTGCGGAAAAATCGGCTTCTTTATCGGATTTTCAATAGATTAATTATCGGGCTATTGACCAGATAGATCTGCCCTACCTTCTACCCGATTTTTAAACTTCTAAGACCGGTTCAAAGACATTTTTCTGCTAAAACAATTCTTTCAGTCCTATTTTTTTAATTTTCAACAAATCAAGTAGCAAATCACTACGTTTGCAGATGACACATGAAACACAACATCAGAAACATACCTAAGTTGTAGATAAGTTCTATATTGTTGAGGCGGATTCATTTTTTACAAACTTCTTTTTGGGTATTTCGCCTCAAAAATTTTTGTCTTTAAAATCATCTCTAGGTGATAGTTCTTGATTACTTTTTGATGAATAATACGTTCTTATTGCGAAATAGGAGCACTATTTATCAATCTGTAATAAAAGACGTGAGAAAATTCTGTCTTTTTTAAAGACAAAAATTTTTGAGGCGAAATACCCAAAAAGAAGTTTGTAAAAAATCAGAAACATGTTCCATCGCTTTCCTAAACCCTTTTAATGCTGATATTTTCTAGGCGTGCCGCATTTCGCTAGAGAAATGGCGCTTCATGATCAACGCACAGCAAAAGCTTCGCATTTTATAGTGCCGTTCACTTTTGTACGTATAAATAAATAACATTATTGCCTAGAATTCAATAAAGTAATGTTTCGAGCCAAAACTGGCCTCTGATTTCATGCTCTTGAACAATCGAGCAACCCTTTATCGATTCTACATCCCAACAGTCAAAATTTTCGTGAACGCAAACGTTACCTTGAAGTGCCATTTCTGCTTAACTAAAGTGACTTGCTCGAAATGCCTGAAGCGACCATAATTTTTAGGGCTCCGCTGGTAAATCGATGGAGGGTTTTTCTATTGTTCAACCCCGGGGGGTTAGTGTTGACGCGGGTATAGAATTTAGATGCAAACGCTTTAAAAACCACTGTTTTAATTCAACATTCTCTCATTTATTGTAATTTTAAATTGTTCAAAGCCTTTCAGTTTTTCCTTTTGGATCAACCGATCAACATTGGCCCGCCAGATTTCCAGATTTAGATCTTGTTGATTTTCTGTTTGGGACATTTCAATATTAGAGTAAAAATTCCAGTCAATTGTGTTGAAATTTTGAGAAAAAATGAACTAAAAATTGTAAAAATGCCCATTTTGCTTAAAAAGCGCATACTATCCCCGTGTGCTTGTGAAGGAAAACCGCTCAGTTTTTACCTGCCACACCTGATTGGAACCGGATTTTTCCTCCCCATAGCGAACCACGCTTATGTGGTCGAATATTTCACGCTTTAAATGCGGAATTTCGGCGCTTTTTCGACGATTTTTGCACATTTTAGACACTGGTGCGTGGTGCGTGCCGGTTCATTTATGCGTCGATAACCCCGTGACGTACTTTGGGACTTTTGGTACTCATTACGACATTTTTTTAAACAATTTTGGGCGAAATTAGACGAAAACAACCTTTTTTTGCGACTTATTGAACTTGGAATTATTTAAAGCCGAATTTAAATACTATAGTGTCAAATTCAAAGTCGCTTTTTCACTATAAGGTCGATGTGTTTCATCAATATTGCCTGTTGGGTGAATTAGTGTTGAGGAAAGGATAGCGCTACTGTGGGCCATTTGGTATAGTAATGGAAAAATTACAAAACATTAAAAAGCAAAAAGCAAGTGGATTTTTCAATGGATTTCCTTAGGTTTTATTTAATACTTCATCAATTTGGCTACCTGGTGGTTTGTGTCGTGGTTTTTTGGCCAAGTTTCATAATAATCGAATTCAATTGCATTTCTTGTTTAATTATTGAGAGGAACTTTATACGGTGGATATGCGAACTGTTAGGAAACGTTTTCAGATCTAAGTCAAACGAGCAAACGTTGGCCTGCAGAATTTACGGATTTAGGTCTTGTTGATTTTTTTAGGACGGTCATTTAAGGCAATGATTCTAAATTGTGTTTAAAAGTGAGAAAAATGTGGAAAAACTGTGCTTAAAATGCGCGTATGCTCCTCATGTGCATGTAAAGGAAAACTTTCAATTGCAGCCTGTCGACTGAGTGAAACCGGATTTTTTCTCCCCATATCAACCCAGATGTGTGCACTCAAATTTCCTAAGCACTAAATGTGGACACTTTCGGGCATTTTTCGGGGATTTTTGCAAATTAGCCGATTTTTAGGCGTGGTGTGAGTGTTCGCTCATTTATGGGCCGAATCGAGCCACCAAAACAGGTATGTTCGATTCTTAAATTGGCAATTAGAAAAATGAAGACACTGAAGGGCTCAAAATACACGACGGGAGTTTATCCCGAAATTATATAATCCGATTGGAGGGGGAGCTCCTGGAGGGCAACAGGAGAGGGGAAGGCGTGTCCATGCGCGGTCACTGTCGCTCCCATGCACGATGCGAATCGGCCGCCAGTACGTATTTAGCTCGTATTTAGAGTGATATGTTGTGTTACATCATTTTCCCGAAAAAAAGTTTTTGGTTTCGCTTGAAAAAGTGACCCTTTTGGCCGTTATCCTTCAATAACACATTCCCTTCGGTCTGTCGGATTTTATCGTTTTTTCTTTTAACTGCAACGCGTTGTTCTGTTTTGTATTATCCCCTCAATCCGAAATTCTGCCCTTTCCCATAGTTGCCTCCCCAAAAAAAAAACAAAAAAATTTATCAACTGTTAGGGCTGCCAGTGAACTGACGCGTAGGTTAGCTTCCTAACCTACTCAAAAGACTGATTAGGCTTAAGTCACTTATAGAAACTCTAGTGCGTGCGTGCTCATCCTGTGCGTTGAAAACAGTACTTAAGTAACGCCTCCCCTCGTCGTTTCTCTTTTGTTTTGGATACGGAAAACATGGAGAAATTCCAGGAACCCCGCGATGACGACGCCGATCAAGTGTTCGAGGTGGAGGAACCGGAACCCACGTAAGTCCCCCATAAATGGAGCCTTTCAAGCTCAATTTGGCCCGATTGTTTCTTCCGAAATAAGGGAAAACAACAACAACAACGATTTCCTGCAGGAATCGACCATTAATGCACAATGACAACCTTCTAACGCCTAAGCATCGTGCTTTATGGCGCCATCTATGCTTTGGGAAAACGGAAATCCATTCTGTTTATCCGTCCGTCCAATCCAATTACGATGGGGCCGTGTATTTTAAGCCCACTTTAACGAATACCGATGCGTTCTTTTATCTATACCGGGCGATTTAAATTGACTGTCATCTAATTGCTGTTTCAAACTTAATCAGTAGCGCAGCCACAAGTACGCTTTGAGATTATACGCCACTGACTGTTCTGGAAATAACAATGATTTGTTGTGGGGCGCACTGTTTGCGGGCGAGATAGCAAAAATCCTTTGATTTAATCCTGATTTAATACCTGTTTTATCAGAAACCTCCTGTAAATATCCACCGAAGACGTGATCTCTCATCTCTCTCATGTGTCAGCAAACGTCGATCTGCCATCTCATTCTGCAGCCTAACTCGTTTTTCAAGCATTCGCGTTGTGCGCCTGCCCGCTCTCCGGCCGCGACATAAACGTGCTCATGCGCACTAAATTATCTTTTAAAACTTTTTCAATTCATTGTTTGTATACAGGAAAAGGGTGTGTGTGTGTGTGTGCAGGTTTTTTTCGCGCGAAAAGCTTGAAACTTCCAGGCAGTTTTAAGTGGGACGCCACTGGTTTTTTTTGGCAAAATGTCATTTTCAACTCTCTGGTCAATTTCCTGCGGAAAAAGGCTGTTGATTTTGACGCAAAAGAATTAATATCCTTTGACTGAGTAGCGAAAATCAGGTTCAATTAACAGTTTCGATTGATTCAAACACCATGTAAGTTGCCGTCCCGAGGGTATGATGTGTCCATCTCTCTTAGACATCAGTAAGCTTTGATCTATCATCTCTTTCTGCGACGTCACTTGGTTCCCGAGGAGTTGCGTCTAGTTGGGCGCCTGCTCGCACTCATGCGCCCTAAATTATCTTTCAAATCTTTTCATTAATTGTTTCTCTTTGTTTTTCGTGAAAAAAGTCCTGGACAATTTTCAGCAGAATAATTGTACGCCTGGAAATAATTATTTTTCAATTTGTTGTTCAATTTTTCACGAAGCAGCTCTCCAGCTTTTGCAGCAAAATAATCAAAATCCTTTGATTGAGCAGGTCAGATTGATTAGAAGCTCCATCGATCTCTCTTAGGCATGAGCAAACTTCTATCTACCATCTCTTTCTGCAGCGTCACGCGGTACTGGAGCACTTGTGCGCCAACTCGGATAGAACCGTCCTCATGCGCTCTAGATTGTGGTCAATTTCAAAATCTAGACAGCTGTGGATAGTTTGCAGAAAAAACCCTGTTTATGTACAGTTTTTCAACATTTTTCAAAGATTTCCGTTCTGTTGATGAGTGCGGCGGCCTAAAGCAGACTGAAATCGGCTGCGATCCAGGCTGGAATTTAACAGAACTAAATAGCTTTAAATATATGGCCCTGACGTCAGTGGTGAGTCATCTGGTTTAAAAGTTTCGGGCCCTCATTTACCGAGAGGATCGGAATGGGAGCACTGAACACATTAATGAAAATACACACACACACACACACACACATACACAAGTTCGTTCTTCTCGGCAAAGCGATCGTAACGAGTTTTCGGCACCATTCAATCCGTGAAGCTGAAGAATGGACCATGTTGGCGGCACCCGAAATCAATCAACGTCATCGTTATGGGACCATTATCGATCCCAGCCAGTTGCCCCGTTTGGTACCACTTCAAAAATCGCCTAGCTCGCCCATTAATTCCTGCTTCTGTCTATCCGCCAAACAGAACCTTTTAACGCGCTCCAAAAGTCCGAAGGAATTTTACCTGTTTTTTTCAATCCGCCGCCGTGTTTACAAGGGACCCGGATTTTTTCGTTAGAAAAGACTCGGGGTTATTTCAGGTAGAAATCAGTTCCATATACCTAGAATTTCAAAGCCCCCGAGCACGGTCTAATTGTCGAGTTTTGATAGCGATAATCGACTGGGAACGACACCGAATGCCCGCAATCGCAAAGGAAATGCTTTGTTAAAAACGATCCGAATGAAGGCAGAAGTCGACGAACGTAAATGAAGCGCTCCGAATCAAAGCGAACGCCTTCGAACGCAAGCGAACCGCTCCGAATCAAACCGGAAGGTACAAAATGTCATCGTAGATCGCCCCTATTGAAGGCAATCATGCACGAAATATGCTTGGAAAATCTCACGTATCGTGCGTCATTCAAAATCATTAAAATCCAGCCAAAATATCAACGATTTTCAAAATTGCGCTTAAATCCATGGAAAATCAAGCAGGAAATATTGATTATTTTTTAACTCTCTGATAGAGAACCAAAGTTTTCAGCGCCTTGAAATTTGCGAATGCCAAAAAAATCGAAAATTTTTCCACCGAATGGTGGCGAATAGTCCCGAATGCTCAAAAACATTGCCCGAATTGCAGGAAAAATCGCACGAATTATGTCCTGAATTCCCACTTAGCGCCGAAATGAAGTACTGAGTGGTCGAAAAACACTCAGATGACTAGAATGGCAATTAAATCCATTAAATTAGGATTTTAAAGTGTGTTTTACCGAAAAATGAATGAATCAGATGCAGAGCAAGTGGCCCCGATTGTGTCATTTCTACTCATTTGGGCCGCTCTGTAGCGTACTTCGACATTA